CATAGCAAAATGGTCATCTGACTTGTTCACCATGAGGACAGTGTGCAATTTTCCATGCCGCTATTCAGTTTGCAGAAACATGCTAATTGTAGGTTCTGCTTGTGACAAATGAGTCAGTTTGATAAACTTCAAAGGAGACCTGAGAAGGAAGAACAAGGCATTCAGATTATGAGAATACACAGCAGCACTAACAGGTTTATTTTGCATTTATAAAAGAGCACATCCAAAGCAACAACAAATGCCCCTCTTCCCTTCCTCTTGCTACCAAACTGGGCACCACTCAGCTATTATTATAAGCATAAATCCTACCTATTAGCCCGAACTCATTTCCTGCATCTCTTCCATTCCAATAAAGCTCATTTAAGCATTATCCTCCTTAGTATTCTCAGGACCACATTATATTATTAGGGAAGGCATTTCAAGTGTACACTTAAACATGTATAGTATGTTTAGCAAAGAACCATATGCCCCACGTTCAATCTCTGCTATCTCTGGATAGTGTGCAGAAACACTCGTGTCTAGAAATTTGGAGAGCTGCTTCCAGTCTGGCCAAGCTAGACAAAGATGCCATTCACAAATGAACAGCTTTAAAAAGTAAGTAGTGTGACTGGGATCCTAACTGGGATCCTTGCATGAGTCTAGCTGCCACCAAAAGAAGTCAATGACTACAGGGGTTTGTTTGTTTTTGTTTCCCTTTTGAAATAAAGGTAATAAGGCCAGTTTAGGACCACACTGAATGGCTTTGTCCCATGATCTCACCAACCACCTTAAAGATATCTATCCAAAATCATAATATTTTTCCACAGTGCCACATGTAAAGAAAGATCCAATCTCCTTGCACTCTCTACAACATTGAGGACTCATTGCACTAAACATACAGCTAAGAGCTTGCAGGGAGAGTGACTTTTAAAAAGGAATTGGCCCTTAGCTAGTAGCTACTGAATGAAAAGCTCATTTTCTGCATATAACCTTCCATGCATCAGCATCTATTGGCATATCCATATCCTGCTTTCCATAGCACCTGTCGTCTCTGCCATTAGCTGTGCCTGAAGAATTCTGGGGGAAACTTAAATAATTTTAATATTGTTACACAAGCCCAGTGCCTGCCTCTCTCTCCACCAAGCAAAGGCCACCAAGCAAAGGGTCATTCTCCCTTTGGAGAATAGAAGACACGGCAGAGACTGTCATGCTTTAAGAAATAGGATTCACAGTCTGCGTGGAGAGAGTCCAAATCTTATAGCATGGCCCAAAGCATTGCAGGCAACCTCCTCTCTTCTCCACAAAGATGGATCTCAGCCTCACTTCCTCCTTCTTCCCAGAAGCCCCTTGCCCCTTTGCCAACCTTCCAAATCTCCAGTCTCTGGTCACACATGGGATAAGAAGTTACATTGTCTTGTTAATGACCCACAATGGCTCTCTTCAGGCCCCTAGTTTGGCCAGGCTACCCAGGAATTCCTTTGCAGCTTATATTCTCCCTTCATATCACAAATCTTAGTATTTATCAATTTTAGTGTTTAGGGGACCCACCCCCGTTCTGTAACAATATGATTAAAATAAGATTAAAAATAGGGTTTGTGTGCAGGTTTGCATGCACAGCTGCATAACTTGCCACTAGAGTTGGTGAAAGAAACAAAAAACAATACGGCAAATTTTTAGGTTTTTGTTCAGACAAAAAAGTCCAAGGAATTTCAAAGAAACTAGTAAGACTTCCATTAACAGTGGTACATTTTATCAGTGGGACTTCATTGTAACTCTGAAGATTTGTGTCTGTTTAATTAAAAGCTTGGTTACACTAACAGCAAAGAAACATAATTTTAACTTGCTAACCACATGATAGACTGTGAAATTCTTAGACCTCTCCTTGGATATACCGTACTTTGAAAAGAGACTAGCTGCATTTTGTTAGATTCTTTGTTTGACTTCGGAGATAAACAGACATATGGGTTTGTGAATGACGAGTGATGACAAAATCCATCTTGGTAGAGCTACTTTGCATTCCTCCCTTCTGACTCTTTCCTTATACAGTTACTTCACACAACAGTATGTTTAATGTACCAAAAGCCTATTACTGTGAGGTGTGTGTGGTGTTTTTTTAAAAAACCTACTGTATTTTTCCATGTATAGGACTAGGTTTTCCCCCTAATAAATTATGTCAAAAATTAGGGGGCGTCTTATACACAGATAGTGCCAATGCCATTTTCTTAAATCTGAGTTTTATACATGGGGGCATCTTATAGACAGAAAAATATGGTACTTGAGCAGACAGTGTGGCCGGATTTCACACCCACTGATTCTGCATTTAAGCACTTCTATCTCATATGTCAGTGAAAGAATCTCTCTACTTTATAGCTGCTGTCACATTCATTCACTAAAAAGCAGGCAAAAACAAATCCACATCCAAAAGCAGCCAACATGTTATGATAAAAATAGTCAACAGTGCCACAATTTAAATTGCAAAAGGGAAAATACTGCACAAGGGGAATAATAATAAACACAGGGGGAGAGAGATCCTTATGAACAAATATATTGTTAAAATATACTAAAGGTTGAGTTATCTGTGCCAATGATTTTAAGAAGACTTTCTAAAGTGCAACAGTAAGTCCAGTCTATAGCACTGTAGAAGGTGCACCTTGTATGCAGGATGAGGTTCAATCTCTAGTTCCACCACATTAAAGGATCTCTGACAATAGGGATGAAAAGGTCCTGGTCTTAGGCCCTGGAGAATTGTAGCCAATTGGGGTAAACAACAAGGTTAGGATGGGGAAACAGTGGCCCTCCAGATGCTGTTGGACTCCTATCAGTGCAAGCTAGCATGGCCAGTGGCTAGAAGTGATGGGAACTATAGTCCAACAACATCTGGAAGGACACCAAATATTGTAGTACAGGGATAGATGGACCAAAGGTCTAACTCAGCATATTTCCCTACCATTTGACAATTTATCCTCACCAGTAAATGCTGAACTGCTGCTTTCCCTCCAAAATAGAAGTGGCAGCAAGAAACATGCTTTAAAAGAATTGCACATTATGTTTGGCTTGATTCTCAGCATGCCTGACTCAGGAATTTTAACTGTTTGCTTGGGCTTTTTTCAAGAAAGGTGTTTGCTTATGCGGTAGGATTTCCTAATGCTAATTGCAGCATGCGGGTAGTGCTGGTGTTGGGTGTGTGTGTGTAGATTTACATCAGGATAGTGGCTGAGAGGGAAGGGTTAAATCTCCCTTTCCCCACATACTGCAGTCCTGGTGAAAATCACCACCTCCCTACAGTACAGTGGTACCTCGGGTTAAGAACTTAATTCGTTCTGGAGCTCTGTTCATAACCTGAAACTGTTCTTAACCCGAAGCACCACTGTAATGGGGCCTCCTGCTGCCGCTGCGCCACCGCTGCACAATTTCTGTTCTCATCCTGAAGCAAAGTTCTTAACCCGAGGTAATATTTCTGGTTTAGCGGAGTCTGTAACCTGAAGTGTATGTAACCCGAGGTACCTCTGTATCTTGCATTTGCTGCTTCCAGGGGTGGTTGCGAGAAGCACCTCTCAGCAAAAGACCGCCTCTCACTTCTGACCCTCTTTGGGCCCAGGCAGAAAGCAGAAACAAAAGGAAGCGCTCTGCTCACTCACCTTCTCTCTAGGGCCAGGACAAAATAGAGAGAGTTGGCCATCACCTCATATTCTCTCTTTTTTTAAAATAATATTTATTACTTTTACAACAATTTAAACACTACAAAAAAAGAGAAGAAAAAACAAAGAAAAAACAATACATTACAATACAAAAACACTACATAACACTAAAACATAAAACTAACAAGACAAAACAAAAACAATTAAAAAACCCATTAAAAAAAGAAAAAAATTCAATATCTTATCTTTCTTTCACATATTTCCACGACCTCCTCACACCTCCCTTTTTGTATTCCACTTCTATTAATTATTTCAGCAATTCCTTTCCATCTTCCCCTGTTTTCTATCCTATAATTATCTTAACACATTATAACCTTATTTTTCCTTTAATACTCTATACTTAATTCCTTATAACCTTTCTACTAAAGCCATATCACTTCATTCCAACATTCTTCTAGCATTCACCTCATATTCTCGCTTGCTCACATGCCCTCTCCTTTGGGGGGGGGGCACAGTGGTGGGGAATAGGCCCAGGAAGACCAAATTCTCTCCTGTCCTCCACGCTGCTTAGTGAGAGAGGGCAAGGAAGGTACAGCTGCCGTTCCGAAGATTAGCCCAGTCTCTTTTTTTGTTCACTCGCAATCTGGAAGGCCTTGTTGGGTTTGATCCTTCCTGCTGCAATGCCCAGGGTTGCCAACTTGAATAAAATAATTGGGGGGTGGGGACGTAGGTAAGTCCCACCTGGTATAATCAATCCCATGACACAGCGCGCTCACAACATTTGAAAGGCAATACCCATCAACTTTGTGGGGCCAGCCCCCTCAAATATTTTAATGGGGGGGGGGAGAGAGCAAAGGGACCTCAGCCCCTAGGAGCTGGCTCCTCTGGCAATGCCCAGAGAGAGGGCATGTGAGCTCCTAGTTTTCCACAGGTGAGAGATCCAAACCAGTGGCACTTAGTACTTGCACCTGAGGGAGGAAAAAATGAAAGGCGGAGGGGGTGCTTGTTTGATATCTTTTCTTTACCAGCACCAGATACTGGCTGGCTCCTTGGCTGTCCTTCCTTCAGCAAAGCGGCAATGTTAAGCACTTTCCCTCTTTTTTTTTTTTTGCTTTGTTTTACGTGCAGCTTGTAACCAGCGTGCCTGACTAGGTAATATTACTCTTCGCTCGCTTTGGAGTGTGTGCCTTGTGTTTTAAAAAAAGAAAAACAGTTTGTTCGACGACGGCTTGTCTTGGCCTTCCGAGCAGGATAAAATTCAGGGACCGGCGACTTTCCTGAGGAGAAACGACAGGGCCGCCACTCGACGACCGCGCGGCGGCCATTCCACACACCCCTCCCTCAGCTTTTCCCGCGCTTTTCCCACCGCCCACCTTTCTCGGGGCGGGGGGAAGAACGAGAGGGTGGTCGAGATTTCATCTTCCCTCAGGCGCCTCCTCCTCCTCCTCCCCGTCTCCTCCCCCTTTTGCTCGGCTGTAGTAGCGGTTGCTGCGCTCTGGGCTCTACGAGGCACCGAGGAGCCGCGCTGGTACTTGAGGGCTGGGCGAGGCGAGCAGCTGCGGCAGCAGCCCAGAGTCTTTTCGTTTTGTTTCTCACCATCTCCCTCAGTCAAGCAACCGACCTAAGCAAGCAAGCAAGCCAGACGGGCGGGCGGGCGGGCGGGCGAGCAAGGAAAGACACTTGAACCGTTTCAAAATGGCCCATCCCTGAGGGAGAAGAAGCAAGAGCCATCCTCGTGCACCAACCGCCGCCGATTCAAAAAGAGAGAGAGAGAGAGAGAGGCGGCGACTACTTGGCGACGGCTTCGCTGAGGCGCTTTGTTGTTGGAAGTGTTGGCGAGTTGTCCCCCCCCCCCATCAACCCTCCCCACCCGCTTTCTCCAATGGTCCAAAGTGGCATGTCCAAATCGCCTCCCACTCCAGCAACGGCGGCGCAGGAGATGCAGATGGAGTTGCTGGACAACCCCCCGGCTCCAGTCCCGGCTGTGCAGGTACAGTTATTGAGGGGTGGAGGGTGACAGAGAGGGAGGGGCTGCTCGCTTAAAAATTAGGGGGCGGCTTTCTTTCCGTGCGGCCCCCGCCCCCTCCATATGGCCAGGGGGAACCTTAATGGTGACTCCGCTTCCAGATTGTGGCTCTTGGGAGCCAGAGTTTTCGAGGCTTCACTTGGCAGTAAAATCCCCTGCCGCCGCCGCCCCAAAAAGAATCCTGCTGGCTTCCATCTTTTTTACTTTACAAGGTAAAGCTGCGGTTCAAAGGGAAAGGCGAGGAGACTCCGCTATTGAGCAATCTCAGCTTGGGCATAGGGTGAAATTCTGCCCCTATGGGCGTATCGACTCAGATTTACTTCCCACCGAGTTCAGTAGGACTTGCTCCGGGATCTGTGAGCACAGAATTGCAAGCTAATGTTCCAGCCCTGTGAGTGAGTGGGTTTACTCGGAAGTAGGCTTTATGTGTCCAGTCGGATTTTGTCACATGCCAATGTATTTAGGGTTTGCAACTCAGAAATAAGCCCCTCTCTGTTTTTATAAGATTTATGTCCTAGTGTAACTTCAGGATTTCAATCTGGAACAGTTTCGTTCTTGGTTCTTTATTAGCGTGCACCGGTGTGGATGAAAAGCTTTACCTATAAGCATGCGCTCAAATGTGGGTGGGATTGCTGGCTATTTGTGCCCTTAATTATGACTGCAACAGGGTGCTTTTGTCTCCACACGTGAGTGTTCATCACCTGATCACAGTACCATCACAAATAACAGACCCATAATTCGTTGGTCGCCTGCCCCCCATCCCACTCACCACACAGTGTACTTTAGTGGAACCTACTCATGCTTTACTGCCACTCATCAGTTAGCCTGCAGTGATCAAACGTAGAAAAAGCAAGTGTTGTGTGAACCAAGCCAGCGGTGGTTATGTTTTACCTTAAATGGTCTGTAATAGGTGCCTATAGACCTACCAAATATCTTGTCTTTGTTCAGAGTCAGAAGCAAGTTCAGAGTTAGAAGCAAGTATTTGTTGTAGGGAAATCAGAGCAATATGAATGGCTCAACTTTGGAAAGTTGGTGGGAGAGGGGAAACTCTGGTCGGGAAAATTCATGTTTTCCCCTTATGGGCACATGGAGAGATGTGGCCAATGAGGAGTTATTGAGGCAGGTTCTTTTTGCATCTGCTTTAATCAAACACATAATATGATTTGTTGTATACTCACAATAAAGGTGTTAGAGGACCAGAGTGGAGAGAAAAAATGTGCATGTGTAAGTTTAAGAGCAGGGCAAAAATTCTAACTCATGTAATGACAATATAGAACAAGTACTTCTGTATGTTGTTGGGTTTTTGTTTTTTGTTTTTTTAAATACTCTGTATCATGGTGTGTGTTAATGTAAGAAAGACATGATGTTTAATAGCTCTGCTTAAAGGCAGACAAATAGTTTTCATTATCTGAAAAGTACATGTGTAGGACTATATTGCCATGATTTCTTTCCTTAGCATATCAGTTGTTTCAGCAACAATTTTCTACATGTTACTTTTGGTTTTTAAACCGATATTTCTTTCTCTGGTTTTCATTGTTACTGACAAGGGAGCTATTTTATAGATATATGTGTGAGCATGTACATGAAATGTGTTCCTTACCGTAGTTCACACTTCAATTCCATTTTTGAGTTAGTTAACTGCACAAATTGCTGCTGAATGTTTTAAACTCATCAGGGATATGGCAACATCTTATTGTGCATGGTGTTTTTAACCTAATTAATTATTTTAATGTTGGTGAATGAACAAAAACAATGATAAATTTGATTGGAATACTTGATTGGAATATTCAGCTAAAAAGAAGTACTCTGGAAGGACTCTATTCGTATTGCTAATAAATATTAAAAGATCACTGGCGTATCTACCAAGCTTGTCTAACTCCATTCATTACTTTAGCTCAAAATCAGACAAACCTTTATAGATTTCATCAGCTAATATCCCCACTACCTGTACAAGTACATTACATGGTGATCATAATTATGCCCCAAAATGTATCTTTTTCTCAAGATACATTTCCCATGCTCTGATTTGTTTGCTGTTCCTCAGGGTTGCAATGACTGGTTCTTTGTAGTGTAAAGTGACCCTGACCTTTTGTCTTAGTATTAAAGATCTGACATCAAAAACATGGACCACTACAATTGTTTTATTTCATGCTGCTGTTATGCTGGTGCCGATGTGATAAATTCTGCATCATAGACCTTCTTTTGGGGGACATTAATGATGAATAAATGAAACATCTACAGTTGAAAAATATATTTCCTTTTCACTGCATTTTCCCTTTTATGGACTTGTTGCAGTCATAATTGTTGACTTTTTACATAGACTAGTATTACAGCTTTTAACAATGAAACAGGTGGATTGGGAATTAACTGATTTTGGTCATATGAAACAATAGTGTTTCTCTGTTTAGACAAAAACAAATGATCCTAATAACCTTTTAAAATAAGACAAGCCAATGCTGTTTGAATAAACATGCAATTCACTGGCAATTAAAAATTTAATGGCAGGTGGGTTTTTTTTAAAAAAAAATCTGATATATTACTCTATTAAACTTTTAATTTTAATTGAGTGACAAAGCATTGCCTGTGCCTTTTATTTATTCATCTATCAATTTATTTTATTTTTATTTTTGGAAAAACAGCTTTTTGCAATCGTACTCAAAGTAGTCTCTAAATAAATCCTTATTGAAAATAGTAGAAAAATTAAAAGTGAAGAACAAATGAATAAGATGAAAATGCAGTTAGAGTTCATAAACCTCCAACTGGGAATGCCTGGCCTGCATAACTTTGCACACAAAGATTTTGGCTTGAAGGGTCACTTGAACCAGTGGGAATCATGGTGAGATGGGGTCATGTATCTCCAATGCGTTTCCCTGCTGTCTCTAACCATAATAAGCTCATTAGCTGTGAGATAAAGTACAACATGCATTTCTCAAATTCAGGATGCAACAAACTTGACATTGAACATCTTTGTTATTGTCATACATCACAGGCAGGTCCATCATTTGCAGAAGCACCCATAGGATTAACTACTGTTGCTATTGATGGAAATTACATTCGATAGATAGACAGATAGATGGCCAATTTGTTATCTCTTCTTGGAGCTAATGCAGGATCTGGGTCCTTCTGCTCACTTTGCTTTTTCTCGTCTATGGAATTAGTATGACCTGGTGGGCTTCTCTCTGGGAAGAAGTTGAATTGGTGATGCCATACTCCTGCTACACCAGAGATTTAAAGTGGGATCCCTGCATACAGCAATGGACAGCTTGGTGGGACTGAATCACTCACCTCTACTCCATCCGGCAGGGTGGCTGCAGCATATCGGGATGGAGTGAGGAAGAGGCGAAGGAGTTGTGAGGCTGGTGTGGTGCAATCATGCCAAGGGAGCCAATCTGATGCTCCTGCCAATGTGTTTATACCATGCCAGCCTTGCCATCAATATGCCACTCTCTCTCTGTCCTGGTATGCTGCAGCAGCTCAGCAGGATGGAGTTCAGGTGTATGGCACACCCACACTATGATGTCTGCTGCTGCCTGTATATATGTTGTTATCCTCAGTATGTCAGAACAAAGATCTCGCAGAATCATTATTGACTTGTCTCTGACCTGCAGCACTTGCAGCTTACACAGCTCAACTGAGAAAGCGTCTTTAACAGGAAAGGTTGCCAGCCTGAAAGCAGTGTCTCTGGGCAGAGAACAAGTAACAGTTGGTTTGGGTGCTAGAGAGCTGTGCACTTGCTCAGTGTCAACTACTCCAGAGGCAAAGTCCAGCAGTATCTTTTTAATTCAGGAATTTCACCACATTCCCTCCTCTGGAATGTCAGGAGCCTGAAGACCATAAGAGCAGCCCTGCTGGCCTTTCTAGTCAAGCACTCTGTTCTTAGACTAGCCAACCTGATGCTTATGGGAGCCCACAGGCAAGGCAAGAGCTGTTTCCTGCTCTTGATCCCCAGTCACACTGCCTTTGATATTGGAGGTAACACAGCCATCATGACTTGTTGCCACTGATACTGTTATCCTCTATTTAATTAACTGAATATAGCTTATTTGGAGAGAAGGGAATTGCTATCTATAAACCATGCTTTTGTTATCTGCAAGCCTTACTATTATAATGTGCTCCACATAGGATCATGCCTGAAAAGTGTTTGAAACCTTCAGATGTTGCAGAATATGAAGTTCTACCTTCCAGTCAGAGTGTACTTAGCACCATGTGATACTGATATATTTTTTATTTTGTGTTTTATGCTTTAACATTGTACACCAACCTAATATTTTATGACATGGAATCATGTGTTTATAAATACATGAACTACACTTCCTACCACTTAATATCCAGTTAAAGGCAGTAAGTAAATCTTAAGTATTTTAAAATGCAAGTGTACTGAACTGATGTTTGTCACTGTTGTTGCTTTTTGATTCTTCTGTTTGTTGGTTTATCTGGATTTTTCAGTTACTGTTTGGCAGATTTCCTTAAGGTTTTTGTTTTTTATTCTGCTTTTTTGTTATTTAGTTGCTGTATATTTAATACTTGCTTTGGATTGTCTTCTGAAAATATAAGGCAGCATAGAATGCTTTTAAATAAAAGCATAAGTTTTATATAAAAATAATTAACATCTTAAAAAAACCCATGTTGCCTGTTTAATTAGAATTAATCAGTTACGTAGGGACATCGGAAGTTATAGGAGTCAGGCTATTAGTCCCATCTAGCTCAGTATTGTTGACACTGACTGGGTTTAAAGCAGCAGTCCTTCCCAGTCCTATCCTGAGATGTGAGGTATTCAAGGGACCTGTTGTATGCAAATCATATGTTCTTACACTGAGCTACATATGTTCCCCAAATCCATAAATGGTTTTGGCCCTAGTTTTCGCTAAACACAATATTTTAGTAAACATTATTTAACTAGCATCTAATGAACAGGACCAAACTGCATTTAGAAGATTGTTGGCATTCGTCTGTCTCAAGAGGCAATGGAGTGTGCCTCCAGGGCTGAACACAAACTGCTGGAGAATCACAGTACCTGCTGTGGCTATGGAGATTGGTAACTCGTAATTCCTGCCTCCCACATTGTTTTTCGCAGTGTCAGCAGCACCAAATTGACTTTTCTGGGATGTAAGCCCGGGGCAGTGTGTACGGAAATCCTGGGCTTCCCAGATGACAAGATGTCTCTTGAGGCCTCATTGATGTGGTCCAAAGGAAAGCAGAGCACCAGCTTGGCTGCAGGAGTTGCGAGAAGGAAGATAGGATGCATGTATTGCTATATTCTTAATTTGACCTTGTTTTGTCAAAATTGGGGGGGGCATCATTACACTCTGGACAGCCTTTGTAAATGGAGTTAGTACAAATGGATTTTAATTTTGTTGTTGTTGCTTTTGCTCTTTCAGCATGTTTGCCATCATTTTCAAACATTGGGAATAACAATAACAAAAAACCCATTATCCATAACATTCTCCCAAGGGTTCTTTAGGATACACAAACTTTCTGTGCATTTGGCTGCTTTGAGTAAGTGGGCTGTATTTTTAAATGCCCCTGCTAGGGAACAGACCCTTCTGCATATAAACAAGCATGACAGTAAAAAAAGGAAAAGCATGTTTGTCAGGATGTATCCTGACATACAACCCCTATCTGCAGCTTGAAGCAGCATAGGCTAGGAAACCTTTATCACTTGATTGTGCTTATTTTATAAATTGGCATTGAATATCTTTTATTTTTAATTTGACTTAATTTCCCTGGTTGGAAAACATGTATTTTATGGCAGAACTTTCCAACATTTCCCGTTGGTGACACACTTTTTAGACATGCATCATTTTGCGACACAGTAATTCAGTTTTACTAGCAAACTGGAGGTTAAACTAACCCTTTTCCAGCTCTGGGAGGAGCACAGGGGGTGTTCACACAACACACCTTCAGCTGACACACTAAAGCGCCGTGGCACACAGTTTGGAAAACTCTGATTTATTGGTTTGTAATATAATGGATATAATATGGCTATTATAACTCCATATTGCACACTTCTAATGTTGTTCTGCCAGTTCAAGCTTATCCCTGCCCTCCTTTTGGATTTACACCTTTTGTTCATCCTTGTTCTTTTTATTCTGGCACCATTACCTCTGACAGTGTAATCTCTAATAGTCAGTAACATATATTCATAACAATAAAGAACTCTTCCCCACCCCTCAGGGAGGGTAGAAATTCATGGCAGAGCTTAATTGAAATAAATTACTAGTGTCTCCTCTTTAATTAGCTATTTTCTTATTTATTTATTTTTATACAGCTCCTGGTACTTTAGCAGTTACTTTGTGTTTTTTCCTTAAGCTTGCTACTCCTGATGGTCTCTGTGTTTCTAATTTGGAGCTATTTTCTTTTCTTTTCTTAAATAATCATAGTCTTCTAATTTCCCCCTTATAAGTACATCTTAACATTGCTAAAATTAGATTTCTAAATACGACGGTCTCTGGTTTGAGTAACCTCTTGAACGTTTACATTTTGTCATAGCTTTTTAATTCCTACTTGTTGAGAAATATGCATACCTTCGGAGCCCTGTTTTTCCCCTGAAGTCTTGTCAGTGCCTTATCTGAGTAGCTAACTTCCTTATGTTTTTATTTCCAGTCCCTCTTGTGTAGCTTTCATATTTTTATACAGTCACATTCATTGCCCCATAAAGTTAAGCTATGTATTGCTAGATTTTCACAGCTAGGTCATGAAACAGTGGACCCCTTGACTCCTTTTATGACATTTAATAGAAGGGATACTGCTTTAAACAATAGCTGTGAAAAGTTGTATTTGAATATTAACCAAGCTAAACTGTTTTGGACTAGTAACCTCCTAATAATCCAAGGAGGATATTATTGTATAACTACTTGCCTTATTACTCTTTTACACTTGTGGAGAAGAACAATTCTTCTCTTTTAACTTTTAAAAAATCGTTTTCAGTATGTTTGGTAAGTCAATTTTACTATGTGTGTATTAATGTAGTATGTAGAAGAATTGACCTAGAGGGAACCAGGAGATCATCATTGCTGAAGCACTGCCCTAAAGCACCATTTTCTGTGATGGTTACCTATTGCTTTGATTTTTTTTTCTTTAATGTTGATATTATATATTATAAGTGCTACAACACTACTGCCTGCATGCAGCAGGGAGTTTTCTCTCTAATGCCAGAAGCTGATATCTATTCCAATGTATAATCTTAAGAACTATTCCAATGTATAATCTTAAGCCATGTTGGTATGCCGTAGTTGAAACAAGATGAAATAAATAAAATAAAATAAAATTCCTTCCAGTAGCACCTTAGAGACCAACTAAGTTAGTTATTGGTATGAGCTTTTGTGTGCATGCACACTTCTTCGGATACACTGAAAGAGAAGTCACCAGACCCTTATATATATAGTGAGAGGGTGGGGAGGGGTATTACTCAGAAGGGTGGTGGGAATGGATGGTTGGTAAACCTGTTGATGACTGTTAACAACTGCAATTGGTCTTACAGGAAAAAGCAAGGGGTGAGATGGCTAAAAATAGCTTTATCATGTATAATGAGATAAGAATCCAATGTCTCTATTCAGACCAGGTCTCCATGGTTTTAAGTTTGGTAATAAGTTGCAATTCAGCAACTTCTCTTTCCAGTCTATTTCTGAAATTTTTTTGTAATAAGACAGCTACTTTGAGATCTTGTATGTATAGAATGTCCTGGGAGACTGAAGTTTCCCAGGAACTGGATCCTGTCTTGGGATTCCTGTGCTGTTCATTCAGTACAGTTGGGCAAACACTTGTGTAAGGGGTTTGTTCACTTTGTGCTATAATATGTAGATTCTGGTGCCTGGCTAATTCTAAAGCTGGCATTTGCTAATATAACAAATTTAATAATATGTTGAGTATTTGTGTCTGCTTGATATATAGACATGTATGCATAAAGTAATAACTTTTCTTTTTAACAGTCTTACAGCAAAGGTGCAAGAAGAAAACACCGATTCAAAGGTTCAGATGGGAGTACATCTTCTGACACTACCTCTAATAGTTTTGTACGGCAGGTATGTTATTTCCTCCACTTTCCCCAATGGTGTATTATTGTGTTGTGTTGATCCATAATCAAAACCAAAGGTGATATGGTGGTAAATGTAGAATATATAATTTAATGTTGATGCATCCTGCGAAGCTTAAAAGCCCATATATATTCACAGTAGATCTTACTACAAGTTGTGGTTTTCTGTTCCTTAGGAGTGTTGAAGACCAAGGCAAAGCACTATAATTGAATAGGTAGATTCCTGGCTTGTAGATTGAATATGTAGATTCCTGACTTAAATATGCGTTTAATTCCTGTTGGATACAATAGCATAGGCAGTGCCTCTCCCCCCCCCCCCGTTTACACGGGGGTTACATTCCGAGGTACCGCAATGCTGGTGAAATCATGAAATCATGTATACTGTAATTGAAACCCATTGAAAAAGTCTGCAAACACCCCGTTCCTTCCCCTCCCTGCCCCTGTTCTGCCCTTTTAGAGCCATTTCAGTGATGTCTTTATAATGTTTCATGGCCGCTTCCAGGTTCAGCACTATGCGCGTATGCACAGTTGTGCACATATTGATCGCATGGAAAGGGGGGGGGACTGCCTGTACTCAACTTAATTTTTCACATTACCCAATAGTGTTTCTTCTCAATGTTAGTGTGGGATTTTTGTGGTTCTCCCATTTAATGAGTTAGAATGGAGCTGAAAGAGCAGCTCTTGCAGTCATCAAGACTTAGTGGATTTCAGGCTCCAGTGGTTTCAGTAATACTGAAACAAAGCAGGTGTGGATGTCATCAGTCCTTGGATGGGAGATGACTGTACCTTCTGAACATAAATGCAATATATGAAAAGTAATTTGACGATACTTCTGTATCCTTGAACATTTCAAATTAAATATTTTATATTTGGGGGCCAAACTAGATAGGATGTTAATCTTCTTTGCGTGCCTGGTTATTAACAAATAGATGCCTGCTATCTGTAATGGGAAGAAAACTCCCAGTAGCACCAGTGGGAGTGTTCTGCCCATTGTGGATAGTAGGCACAGGACTTGACAATTTTGCATTGGGACTGCAGCAGGGGGTAAAACATTAAAGCCTCCCCTCCCCCATTCTGTGCTGGCTATTTGTTTAAGAAAATATATGTGCAGGACCAGATTACATGTTGTTACTTTGGGTCTCGCCCCAAATCCACCTTGTCTGAAATAATTGCAAAGGAATTATACTAAGATATTTATAATGATTTCAAGGAACAGTTTGATCAACAATATCAGAGTGGACTGGTGCTTTATGCTGAAGGAGTGTAGTGGATCCAGCTCTTAATAGCATCATCTTGAGACTTCGATAATGTATAATAGATAATATAATTGATATTACAACAGAGCACATTCTATACACACCTACACAAAATACTGCTTTTTAACTTATTTGGCTCAGTTATGTAGCTTTTTTGAATGGAAAATAAACTATATTTTCAGTATGGATTAAACAGCAGTAGCAGTTTTCTTTAACATGATGATGTATGGGTATTTGAAGGAAGAACTCCTGTATTGAGTTACTTATCTGAAGGCATAAATATTTTTTTGTACTCTATTTTATTTAATTAATTAGATTCAATTTATTTTTCTGTAGGGGTTTGACTAGTAATGATGATGATGATGATGATGATGATGATGATGATGATGATTTGGAGAAGTCCATAACTTTAACTTTCAACTGTTTGGGTAATGAGATTAGATATGGAAATGTAGTTCTTAAGTTTGCAAAATTTCAAAATAGTTTACTTGCAAGTGATTTTTTTGTCTGACTATAATTTCATTTTAAGCATTTCAAGTAGATCACAGCTATATAATTATTAAAAAGACTTATAAAAGTACAGATCAAGTAAACTAAATTGTGCAAGCAAAATCACTTTGATGAAAGGCACATAACTGTTATAAAGCAATTCTGTATGCTATTGGCACTTTCTATAAAAAGTTATCTTTGTGAGCCTTGTATTCAGATCTTATTTTAAAGCCTGATGTTTATTAAAAAGAAGCAACCTTATTTAAAAATCACTTTTGTAAATATTAAGCTGTGATAAAGACTACAGGCTAGATGGGCTGCTTTAGACCAATATTTTCAGTGTAGCCCCACAGTGTTTAAATACTGGCAGGATGCCTATTACACTGTGTTCAGTCACAAACAGGGTTATAAATAATGGCAAAGTGAATTTATTATCCATGTGATTTTCTGTAGAGGTCTTTTCTGCCTTTAGCACTGCTTTACACATGATGAATTGTGTACTTGGATATCATTCCCAAGGAGGAAATTACTTGTATCTTTCATGTCCAATACCATGAGTGACAAAATGTGCACATCTTTTTCTTTGTGACTCACTCATCAGAGAGGCCTCATTAATAATGGAAAGAAATGATTATATAATAGTTAATAGGAGAAAACTTGCAGATGACACAAGCTACAGAAAAATAGGTTCAGACCCCACAGCACATATTCAGAATTTGGTAAGGACTATTATCCAGGAGGCTATGGAACTGGGTTACCTATCGGATAAGGTAGGACAATTTTTAATACAATCTCATCCCGTGTACTAGTTTCTTACCTTTTACTAAAGGTACACAAACCTGAGAGACCGCCTCCTGGTCATCCAATTTGTTCCAGCACAGGTTCAGTCCTCGTACCTCTATCGAAATTTGTTGACCATTTTTTACAGCCTCAGGTTAGTAAGTCAGATACATATATTAAGGATACGGCACATTTCTTTCAAATTATAGAACAACATACAGTTATTGAATCAAACATTCTAGTCATTTTAGATGCACAGTCTTTGTACACATCTATTCCCCTGGATGAAGCAAGGTTACTTCTGGAGGATACTCTAAATGTTTGGAAGTGTTTGGACCCATCCCACCCACCCACCTTCTTCCTGATGGAATTAATTGACTTGATTTTTGAAAAGAATTATTTCAGATTTGGCCATGATTTTTATTGCCAAATTAGAGGTATTTCAGTCGGCTAACCATTTGCCTCTAGTGTGGCAAATTTATTAATGTATCAGTTTGAAAAACAATGGATCTTGGATCCCAACACTAACCCTTATTTCCATGGCATTGAGTTATATAAATGTATAGATGACATATTTATGATCTTTTCCAATGAACCACATTTGGATGCCCTGGACAATTGGCTTAATTCAGTTCATCCCACGATTAAGTTTAGTTTGCAACATAACAGACAGGCCATCTCCTTTTTAGACACGACCATATATAGGAGCTCCAGTGGGCAATTGTGTGTTACATTTTTTACTAAATTTACAGATAAAAATTCCCTTTTAAGATATGACTCCTTTCATCTATGACGCTTAAGAAACAGTCTCCCTTTCAGTCAAATGATTAGACTCAAATGGAACTCAACCTGGGGAATTTTTAAGAGACTCCAGAATATTAGCTAAACAATTTCAAAATAGAAGATACCCTGAACACATAATCAACAATACAGTCAGGAGAGTGTTCAATATTAATAGGGAGCAACTTTTTCAAAAACATTTGGAAATTGGATGCATTTGGAAATTGAACATACAGCCTTTGACGTATAGCAAGAGACTATGAGTTTGTGGGTAAGAAGCTGAAGGGCCTTGTGGCCCAGGATTTTTTAAAATTATTGCTTCCTGTTGAAGACTAGCCCAGGAAGAGAGGAAAATACTGGTAGTAAGCCACTGGCTGTCCAGGTGTTTTCATCAGGAAAGGTTTGCCTTCTTGGAGCATGGCCTCTGCTTCTTTGAGGAAGGACTTCCAGCAAGAGATGGGTTGCACCTCGCAGCAGTTGGCAAGCAGTTGGTGTTTGCTAAGAGTCTTGCAAACCTGATCAGAAGAACTTTAAACTAAATCCTGAGGAGGAGGGAGACAGTATTATAGATGACAGGGGAACACCTGGTACTGGGAATAATCGCTTCATTGATGCACAGGAAACTGAGTTGTTGCTCGAGAAGCCTGCTAAAGGATAGGACGCTACAAGAAGGAAGCAGCTGGATTTGTGGTTTTGGTTTTCTCTATTCTAATGCTCAGAGTATGGAGAACAAGCAAGACGAATTTGAGCTCTAAATGCAGAATGGCAAATATGACCTAATATGCATTACTGAAACCTGATGGGATGAGACTCATGACTGGAATGTAGGAATTGAGGGGTATAACCTGTTCAAAAGGAATAGACCAAACAGTGAGGAGAAGTAGCATTATGTGTAAAGCATGTGTACACTTGTGAAGAGATACATGTCCTGAAGCATGGGGGATAGACAGGGAACATATGTACAGGTAAAAATTGTAGGAGTGGGAAAGTACTATTGTAGGAGTGGGTTTGCTATAGACCTCCAAGTCAGACAGAAAACTTGAGTGATACATTCCTACAGCAGATTACCAAACATTCAAAAAGGAGAGAGCTAGTAGTCATGGGAGACTTCAATTTTTCTGATATCTGTAGGAACTCAAACTCTGCCAAGAATGTAAGGTCCAACAAATTCCTCTGTTGCCTCACTGACTATTTCATTTCTCAGAAGAAGCAACAAGGTGATCATCTATATTCAACCTGGTCCTAACCAACAGAGGAACTGATCAATGAGACATTCCCAGCATGTTTGCATTCCTGTCTTAGCAATGTCTACACTGGCTTGGTCATGTCCACAGAATGGAAGATGTCAGGATCCCCAAGGACATGCTCGATCCATAGCAGTGACCAGAGAAGGAATGGCTTCTGGGAGGAGCACAGAAAGAAGAAAATCCATGGTGCATCTGCAGTAGCACAACTGGATGCCTTCATCTACCCTAGCTGCAATAAAGCATCTCTCTCCTACATGTCTCTACAGCCACAGCAGGCGCTATATCCTTCTAACAGTGTGATCTCACTCTCAAGTGTGCACTCCTCCATTGTCTCTTGAGACAGATTGATGCCAACAAGATTTGGAGCACAGGATATCTTTTATTTCACTCGTCAACAAGGGTGCTGTGTTCACAGTGATCTAAGCATTATCCTTTCC